TTTTTGTTTATTTTACTCCTCAAACACACACCATGTGAAGTTTTACCGTTGTATTTTTAGTCTTCTGCATGTTTTTGACTTTTGTTATTTATAGACTTTCATCGAGGAGTGACTGTACAATGCCAAATTCTAACGTTAGTTTTATACTGTCGCTGTTCGGAAGTTCTGTTTTTTTTAAGGTGATAAAAATGTACATCATCCTAACTTATAGACTGATTCTAGTATTATTAAAATCCATTTTCTTGTTATTTTACTTAGAATAACTCGAAAATAATTTTAAAGAATCCTATGCTTTTGTTTCCTCCTGAAATAATACAAAGATTCCAATAATTAAAAGTTCAAATTGCGTTAGTGGGTGAAGGATTAATTTGATAAAGTAATAAAACAATGACAGCTGGGACTAGTGGTATGCTGTCATCTAGCTCCGGGAAGGCAAGGTGGGGGACCACTTGAGGCAGGATGACCAGCTGGGCACTAGCTCCTCTCTTAAAAAAAACGTAAAGTTGCTGGGTGTGGTGGCGCACACCTGTAGTCAGGCTATTGGAGGCTGAGGCAGATCGGTTGCTTGAGCTCGGATCTGAGGATTGTAAGCTAACTGGGCCACTGCACTCCAGCCTGGGCAATAGAGCAGGCCCTATTCTAAATACCTGTCAAACCATCATTTTTACGGAGAGATGCAATTCTTATAAAGATACCCCAAAAAGGAAAATTGTCTACTTTTATATTACTATTTTTATCCTTCCTGCTTTTCTTCTTACATGATTGAAGATATTCCCATAGTGAAATTTTTGCTTCATAAGAAATTGAGATTATTACAGACATAAAGATAGTTAAGCAAAATACACACTCAAAGCAAGTACCAAACATGAGACCTAATACCAAATAAAAATGTAATTTTTAATTAGGCCACTAACTTTACTTTTTAAAAATCCACAAAGAAGGGAATGAGATAATTCCAACCCAAGATGACTTCCACTCTCAGGATATTCTTCATCTTCCCTTCTCCCTTCTTTTCCCTATAGACCAAGCCAGCTTTTCTTAAAAGGGATATCAACATAGGAGCTTATACAGATGTCAACATGGTTCTCCCCTTCCTTTTTGCCCTAATCATCACATTAAAATTCAAATTTTTGTGAAAATAAATGTTAGATAGTCTTCTCAGTCCTATATAATCTATGCATCTACAGGGTCACATAATTATTTCATGAGTTTTCAAAGAACACATCCCAAGTTTGTTCCTAATAAAATCTTTGGTAGTAAAATTTGGGATACTAAATTATTATATAAAGGATAATTTCAGAAGTACAATTTAAGAGCGATACAATCATTTCTGTGATACCTTGGGATTTATTTATTTGTTTAGAGACAAGGTCTTGCTCTGTTGCCCAGGCTGGAGTACAGTGTCATAATCATAGCTCACAGCAGCCTTGAACTCCTGAGCTCAACCAGTCCTCTTACCTCAGCCTCCTGAGTAGCTGGGACTATGGGCATATGCCACCATGCCTGGGTAATTTTTTTTCTTATTTTTTGGTCTCTCTTTTTTTCTTTTTAAGTTTTGGACAAAGACATCCAACTGGTACAAATGCCGGCTAATTTTTAAAAAGTTTTTGTAGAGACAGGGTTTTATTATGTTGCCCAGGCTGGTCTCAAACTCTTAGGCCCAAGTGATCCTCCTGTCTCAGACTCCCCAAAGTGCTGGGGTTATAAGTGTGATCCACTGTGCCAGGTGGGATTTAAAACTTTATGAAAAACTGAAATCTGGTAAATTTAACGAATCTGGCATGGGCGTGGTGGCCTCATGCCTGTAAATCCCTACGCACTAATGGGAGGCGCTGAAGGTTGGGTGCATTTGCTTGAGGTCAGGAGTTCGAAACAAGCCGAGCAAGACACCGTACTCTACTCATGAGACTAGCAAATGAAAATCTTAATTGGCCAACATAATATTATATATATATGAGGCTTATAACTTACCAGGCATTGTGGCACCTGCCTGTAAGCCCAAGCTGACCTTGAGGCCCAGAGGTGTTGAGCGATTGCTGGTGAGCTAGGCTGGACCCATGGGCACTCAACTCGTATGCCGGCTTGGGGGGACAACAACAGCCAAACTCTGCCTACAAAAAAAAAAACCACAAGCCACAACCATCATACCACAGAAAGAAAAACATTAAAAAAAATGAAATAGATAAAAAGACAAAAAGACAAAACCAAAACCAATAGCAAATAAAAACAACGGGCATGTGGCGCCCATGTGGGTGTTTTGGCCCGTTTGATTTTTTCACTTCAAAATACAGTATATGTTCGCAGTGTGCAAAGGAATTTTTTCATAGTTTTTTTTTTTAACTATAGTCTGGTCCTCCACACGGTTGGAGGACAGTACACTGGCATCAACCTGTTTAAAAAGTTTGAGACCCCTGGTTACCGGGCGTGGGGAACTGTGGCCTTCTGATTTCAGGATTGTTCTTTTTTAAACACCAAAGGAGTCAAGAAAATCTTTATCTTTCTCTGCCTCACCTGTTTTAATACCAGGATTTATTCTGTAAAATTTAGATTGAGTCAAAAGGCCACATACAAGGATCCAGAAGGCCACATGTGGCCCCAAGGTCCAGGTTCCCTACCCCTGCAAGAAGTGTGCAAAAACTTTTAAGCTTTTTTTTTTTAAGATCCAGTGATGACGCTGGGCATTGT